CAGGAGGTGGGGGCCAAGGCCCGGGACGACGCGGTGGCCAGGAAGCTGTGGGAGGTCAGCGAGAGGCTGACCGGCCTGGCCTGACTGCACACAGGGGACAATAGATGAGCCAGCACCATCAAACTCCAGTTTCCTGAGAAGAGGGCTGACGACGTATTTATGCCTGTCTGTCGGAGGACAACGTTTGAATCATTCTTTTGTTTTGAAACACTTTTCTGTGACCGATCGAGGCTGTTAAAGAAATGCATTTATTTTTTGGAACCGCACAAATGTTGACAGCTGGAAATGTATTATCACAGGGGGAAGAGTGAGCTGCCAGTGCAGCAATAATATCTCAGATCTGGGGAGCGATTGCTTGGTGATAAATGTTTTACAAGTTTTTTTACAAATCCGCCAGCACGCAGTGGACTTACAGCGCGGATCACACCTTGTGTTTTGGCCCTGGTTCTGCTTCAGCGATGTCCGAGGCTGGGATTCGCGGGCAGGCGAGTCTGTAAGATGTCTGCCGGTCTCACTACCACTGCGTCCCACTGTCTGTAATCTGTCCGTCTGTTTTTTTTTTTTTCCCGTTTCAATCCAAGCCGGGGTTACTGGCGCGGATCCTGGCACCCACCTCTCACTGTGGCACAAGTGCTGCCAACGATGAACTGCTGTGCTCCGCCATTCCTTCACGAACACGCTGCTGGCGCCTGATCGGGTTTATTGATCGGGATGACGGCGCCGTAGCGGAGCCCGCGCTGTAGCTGGAGGCATGGGTGGGCCGAGCCCCTCTGTGATGGGCGCCCGCAGTGCGGTTGAATCCCCTGAGAGCCGTCCTCTTTGTGACAGATGCGGGGGACCCGGAGTTTGCCAGGGAGCTTGCTTCCCACGCCTTCTCCACCGAAAATTCACATCCGCAAAGGAAGTGGGAAATCGGATGCGGTGTGTTTGAGATCAGTTTGATTGACACGGGTTCTTCCGAGCTTCTGTTTTGTTGAATCAGGTCTGGTTGCTGTGTGTTCATGTGAATCCATTATTGCAGAGTCACAGCAGTGAATGTGCAGCACTATCTTTACCCTGTTTTTAGCAGTCCAGGCACCGGGGACATTAATGATTGTATTTGCCACAGACGATACCTTGATTAAATGAGGCACCTGGGACTGCCTCCTCCCCCTGAGGAGAACCACTACCAAGCCCTGCACTCTGATTTTTTTTTTTTTTTTACGTGCTGTTGGTATCTGAGCTGCATAGTTGTGTGTTGATGTTTCTCCCTTTGCTGTGAAGTGACCTCCCCTTGCTACTGCCACAGTGTGGGGTGTGTTAGAATTGTGCGGCTTCCATGTCTGCTTGCTGGCTCAATAAATATTTTCTCCTCTTTTGAAAAATTTGGTTAATAAGACTCATCAAAAGTCTCTTCCACGGTTAAAGCTATGATATTGATCATCACGCCCTGCACCATGGTTCATTGTGGTCTTTGTTATTCTGGGATATACCAGCAATACACTGGCTTATTCATTCATCATGCAGCATAGCAATTTAATTCATTAAATGGTTTATCTGAAGCAGTGGTAGATCTTCGACTTGAAAGCATCGATCCGACTGCACGGAACCTTTTGAGGACGGGAACCAATTTTATTTGCCTTGTAAGACTTCTTGACGGATTTAACTGCCTGAACTCAAATCGATTCCATTGAAGACTTGTGTATGCAGTTGTGTGTGAGACGGGATCAAAATCTTGCGATTACCAATCAAGTGCTTGAAAGAGAGTAGCCTTGAAGTGTGAAATGGGGACATCTACTGGAGAAAAGCAGTGTTACACGTAAATAAAGAGGAAAACAGGAAGTGAATCCGACACTCGCAGGGAGGTGGTTGTAAAACTGGGAGGACAGTGTTTCTGAAACAACCCAAACAGCACAGTTAAACTCTGCAGCGCGGAGTCGGGTGACTGAAGAGCCGAAGGAGAAATGGCCGCTTTTTTAACTGCGATTGCCCTGGTGGTTTTTGTTTACTTGCTCATTTATTACGGCGTGTTTAAAGGTCAGGTGTGCAAAAGCACCGCGGTGCTGAAGGGAAAAACCGCGATTGTAACAGGTGAGCCAAGCTGTTATTAATTATAATGCCAGACGCGTGAATGAGTATTCCTATGACCAGCTCTCCTAGTGAAGAAAGCCCTGATGCCACTCTCTGTGGTTTTCCCTTAACTTCAGCCGTGCTTTCCTGTTCTCTGCAGCGTGTTGTTGTTTCTAAAGCTAGATCGCGTGTTTTCACCTCCAAAAAAATCTTAGTTCATTCATTAAAACTTTTTTTCTCAGTTTTTTTAGGATGCAGGATTTTCGTATTAAGATGACAAGATGTATTGCGAATATTTTACTCCCTGAAGTCCATGGTCTGTTCGGTCAGGGGCGATCTCGTACTCCTGGAAGCTGATATTGTACCTGTGCAGTTGAAATGGTAGCTGTGGTGTTGAGTGTTTCTGCTGACATGAGTCATGTCTAGTGACCCATTTACGCGCCCTCCTTTTCTGAGGACCGCACAACCTTAAAAATGTTTGCACAAAAACGCAACACAACCCGCACATTCGAACATAACCTTTCCAGGCTGGGATCTAGCAAACTTTTGCAGCGCTGTCCGTTTCCACTGCACGCATTAACAAGGGAGGTAAGTCTTGCAACGGTGTCGATGTATGAACTCTGACCTTTGACACCCCCACCTCTGATTTCTAACACCTAATGTCCTCGGTGTGTTTCTCCTCCAGGTGGCAACACAGGGATTGGGAAGGCCACGGCTCTGGAGCTGGCCAGGAGAGGGGCCAGGGTCGTCCTGGCCTGCCGCAGTAAGCAGAGGGCAGAGGCAGCCGTCTATGACATCAGGAGGGTAAGAGACCTGGTCTTTTCCTCTTTGTGTTGTCGGGCAGTCTCACACAGCAGTGAAGGGGAGTGAAGAACTGCACTAGCTGGGAATTTGTCACAGGAATTCGGTGTGCAGTAGTTCTGTCTGGGTTGGCAGTGCGCGTTACAGAATTAAGAGTGACCCGTCCCGTTGTCAAAGCCCCTGACCGGAGGGCCTGCTGGATCTGTGACAGTCTCCCTGGGCCTCGCTGCCTGCACACACGCTTGTCTTTCAGGAAACCGGCA